TCCTCCCCCCCCCACCCCCTCCCGGCGGCTGGCGGGTCCCGTCTCCCCGGGAATCGCCATTCCCCTCCCCGAGGCCGTGGGACGGGCCCACCCCCAGCGCGGGGAGGTGGGGCCGAGGGGGAAGCGGGGTCCCCGCGCAGGCCGGCGGGGCGCCCGCACCTTCCCCCGCTGCCCACACACACACACACATAGACAGACAGACACACGGGGGAGGGCGGCGGCAGGCAGTCAAGGGAATAAACTCTGACCTCCTCGCTCTTCAGCACCTCCTTGAACTCCCGCTTGATCCTCTGCACCGCGATGTTAGCCATCTCCGCAGCCGGCACCCACTCGCCGCCACCTCCGAGCCGGGCCCAGCGAGCTCCGCCGCCGCTCTCGCTGGATAACTCCCGGCCCCACCAAAATGGCGCCGGCGCCGAGCATGCGCGCTAGGGCAGCCGGCTCTGCCGCCGCCGCTCAGGAGGGGCCGCCGTATGCGCCGAGCGGAGCGGGCACCGGGGCTCCGCGAACGGTGGGGGCCGAGCGCTGCTGGCCGGCCGAGGCGGTGTGCCCTCCCTCTCGGTGTCTTCCTCCTCCCCCTCCGCTACCCCCGGGGGGGAATGATGATGTCGCCGCCTCCTGAGGAGGTGCGGGGGTCCGCCCGCCCCAGGAGACACCTGCCTGCCGCCGCTCGCCGGGCCAGAGTGTGAGGAGAACCGTCTGCGGGCAGGGCCCCTCCGCCGGCGGGCCCCGGGGCAGAGCTGAGGCGGTTGCGTTGTCATGGTTCCCGCCGCGGGCAGCGCGGCCCGGCCTTACGGCCGCACAGCCCAGCCCGGGGGAAGGCCTGAGGCACCGGGCCCGGTGAAGGGGTGCCCTCGGGAGGGCTGGGCCGAGGAGGTCCGAGGTAGCAGGGGAACAGTCTGAGGTGTCCCCGAGGAAGCAGCAGTTGGCTCGAGGAGCAGCTGACGTGACTTTTGGTGAAGTCCCTGAGTGAAAATAACCAGGGAGGGCTTTCAACATGCCTTGAGAATCTGCTCTACCTGCCCGTGCAGCAGGTCCCATCTGTTTTTGTTTTTTTTCCTGGAGAAAACGACAGTTCCTTACACATCTCTCCCCTGGTCCAGCTCATCACCCTCTTCCCACCCTGAGCCTTCCCTTGGAGACGCTCCTCACACCAGACGGGACAGGAGAGGGGGAACGTCCAGGCCTGGCAGGCCCAGGAGCAGACAGACAACTCTGAGGAGGCAGCGTAAGGAACTGTTGCTTTTTATGGATTCTGTGACAAGATTTTAAAAGTAGAGTTAAAAAGGTGAACGTCAGCCCTGTCTAATGGACTATTACGTTTTATTGGAAAAGCCACAGATGTTGCTCTGTCTAGAAAATTGAAATAGGGTGGCAGTAACCATCCCTGCTAGCCCGAGGTGTGCAAAATGCAGTATGGTATGGAAAAGCGTAGATAGATTTTCAGAGGGCAACATGAGATGGCATTTCCAACTGCTTATTTAGGAACTAGAGGCTTTCAAGACATTAAGGTCTATAGAAAGATTTTATAGTGCCTCCTCTTAATGGTGCAGTGGAGGACAATGTACAACATGGGCATTTATCTCAACAAATGTCTACTTCTGGTATGGCTGTCATCTGCAAGTGCTGTTTATTTATCTCCATTAGTATACACAGCATTTTGACTGCTATATACATAGTAAGAAAATATAGGCCCAACCCATAAAAATAAATCTGGCAACTATATACAGATGCATATAGTTCTTTTTCTCTGTATGTTTACTCTTCCTTTGTGGTTTGGCTGGAAAAAGTCCATTTTCCTGCAAGTGTGTGGTACCATGTGCATCTGTTCCTCAAATTAGGTCTTCTTCAGACTGAAACTTGGTTTTAATACAATATACAATGCAGTGTTTCAGCTGAGGTTTTTAGTACCTTTTTGAGAAGGATCATTTCGCATTAGGCCTGATTTCTTTTTAATGACTTCCCCTGTGATCTTGGGCCTTCATTTTCAGAATAATTGAGACATCTAAGTCCCACTGATATGTCTTAAGTTCCTTCTGAGAAGGTAGGCCATGGCTTCCCTCAGCCCTAGGCTCTCACCTGGAAAATAAGGGTAATAGCTCTTCTCTGCCTCTTAGAGCTCATAGATGAAAGCTAGGTTTAGGGTGCACTGAGCTCCTATTGGGTACTATAGACAAAAATTATAAAGGTAGTACATAAAATCTCTGGGTTAAATGCTTCATGTCTTTTCAGAGATCTCCTACAAAGGAGCTGAGCTTCTAATACGCAGATTTTGCTCTGAATGGAGTAGAAAACATGACCTTTATCAAGTGTCAGAATCCTTTGTGTTCCTGTGGGTATGCTTGTATGCTATAGGTAGTAGATGTCCAGTAAGATCCACAGTAAAGGGCAATGATTTTGCCTGGTTTGTATCTAGGTTCATTTTCGTGTGCTCATTTGGATTACAAATGTCAGAGTCCGTTACCGCAAAAAGCAAATCAGATTAATATGAATTACTATACCTCTTTTCCTTAGTATACTCTGCTCCTTTCTCTTGTCCTTAAATAGGCATCTTTCACTTATCTCACAGCTGTTTCATATTCACCATATATTGTGTTAATTTTCTCTTTGGTAAAAGATATATATAGAAAGGCTTTTGGGGAGGTAGAACAGAGTAGTGGTGAGTTTTGCCCAGATTAAAATACTGCATAAAAATCAGTGCTGCCTTATGTAATCAGCATGCTGGGGTTATCATTGTATACCTCCTGTACTGTTTTATGCTTTACTGTAGTTTACGGTTTTACAGAAGACTCTGCAGGGTTTAAGCCAGGACAGGACCATAGGCAAACAGTCTTTGAATAGGTGTTTTTGTTTGGTTTAGCATTTGCTTGGTTTTGTTGTGGTTTTTTTGTGTTGTTTTTTTTTCCTGTGAAATAAGAAAATGCTTAGGAGAAATGAGAACATAGCCTCTTTGCGTGATTTCGGTGACTATTGTGTCTGACTTCATAATATATTTTATAATATGTTGATAATATTGTCCTGTGTCTATTCGCTGAAATAGATTGTCATTAGTCTTTCACCATTAGAAAAATCCATACACAAAATGGAAAACCACAGTCTGTTGAACATAGCTCACTTTTTGAATTACAAAATCTTGTAGCATATCTGATTTCAGCAGATAGTTCTTTCATCGATCCCATCATCAATTTCGCTTTATACCAAACAGTTCTTTTAACAGTAGCTTTCACAAACTGGCTGCAAATTGGTCTGTACTTTTGCCCGTTGGTGTTGATCAAAACTAATAGAGTGGAAGATACAATTCTGGGTATCCACGCATGGTTTAGGATGCTTGGCATATTGCTTTGAAATACTTCTGGAAGTGGGAGCAGGAAATAGGGTGTATTAAATGAAGTTCAAAATAGGTAAGATTACCGCAGGAGGAAAGTTTATAGGATTGGTACCTGTAAAGTAAGATCAGTGGTGGTAAGACCTCAGCCCAAGCTCTCAGTATGGAAAGGCTGCCAATATTCATTAGCCAATGCTAGGGTAACCAAACATCCTAAATGTAGTATCATTTCCCATGTAATATGGGAAATATTCTCTATCCTACAACTTGCATATAGGAAATAGTTCCCCACATTTTAATGGAAAAGTGGCTATTGTTCATGCACAAATTGTGCCTGTTGGACTCACTTGCTGTACATACAGTACAGTCACTGTGTGCGTGGTTCATCTCTCTGAGTGTATGGATACCCCCAAGCCGCAGCATACTGCTTGGGGACTCCAAGGTGCTTATGACAACGCTAACTACAATTAAATTTCTGTTCTTCAATCAAGTTAAGATTCTTGGCGATCTTTTTCTCATTTCCTATTTTCCTGATTTTATTCTGTTCATTTCAATAGGATATTTTTCTAGTAGAATTACTCAGCAAGAATTTGGAATTGAGATTGCTCCTTGTGATTAGAAGAAAATGCCATTTTTGAAACTATAACTTTCCAGCATGCAACATTCTGTTCCTCTCTTGCGTTACTAATCTTCTCTCCTCCTCATCGTGGCCTCTCTAGATTAGGAAAATAAAAAATTTCAGGCTTGATCTTCTCTCATTGCTGCTGGAGGATTTCTTATTGGAGAGGAGAGCCGTCTCAAGAGATCTGTATATTGATCACTTTAGAATCAGGGGTTGAACCTGTAACATATTTTTAATTCTTACTTTGTTTATTTCATGACGCATCCATACGAGGATTAACTTTACAGGCTGTATTGGTATTAGATGCTACGCACTTTGCATTTAAATGTTCATATGCTCATTTGTAATAATGCTGTATTTAAAAAAAAAAAAACAGCAACAGATTATATTCATAAAACTAGGTTATTTTTAACTTTAACCCTCATTTTCCACCAAACTTACACCTACAGCTCTTTTGCTGTCATCCCAGCTTTTAACAGGGAGGCCTACATGCCAGAAGTTGTCTTTTTTATCTGCATATCATTTAGCACATTTCGGAGGCTACAAAAATAAATTTAGCCTGCACGTTTATTGTCTGTCATATTGTGTTCCTGTTGTGGCAGCGTCGGGATGACTCAACTCATTCCGAAGATTAGCTTTATCATAAAAATAACTAACTGGTTGTGCAAGTTGACCGAGTTTTAAGTTGTCATCTTAACTTTCCTGTTCCTCCTGGCCGTGTCCACGTCCGGTGGCGTGGCCAGGTGTAAGAGTGCCCTCTCCTGGGTGGAACAGGGCAGGCGCCTCCTTCCTCGGGTGAGACGGATCCCTCGTGGGGAGCTCTTTGCCTTACAAAGGGCTCATGGCACCGCTGCTACCTTGTCCGGTCTTTCCTTTAAAGCTGTTGAGGAAGAACTCGTAGGAGTTCTGCAGGCAGAAATGCTTAAAACAGTAGGACAGAAATTGTTTGGTGTTCCTGGTAGAAAGAGGCGGTATGAACATGTGATATCTGTCCTTTCCAAATTGTGGTTTTCATGTCATTAGCAGCTTATATATATATATATCTCTATGTGATTAAAAAGGCAGTAAGTGTACTAGCCAAACATCAGAGCCATCTGAAGTCATTCATATGATGCAGTTCACCCGACTTAGTGGAGTTAGATAAGAAATTAATTCAGCTATTGATTTTACAACAATCAATCTATGGCTTAAACAAGATTTAGCAAAGTTTTCATTAAATAATGCATGTGCAGAATTTTTTGGCAGTTTAATAATAACACCCTATTGTTGTTCTCTTGTTAAGGGCTTTTATTAGAAATTGACAGGACACGCTGGACTTTTCATTAATTTGGTGGTCTGGCAATATCTTCTAAATTAATGTTACATCTGAACCTGATGTTTTTGGTAGCCCCAATGCTTTTAAGTCTGTTAGCAAAGCTAATTTTTTTTATACTTCCACTTGTTTGTGGTGGAGTGGTTTTCAACTGCTGGTAATACACCTTGGAGTCTGGGGGCCGTTTCTTGTGGGTTCAT